GTTGTATAAAAGTGTATAATGTATACACCAATAAGGCGCGTTTTCCTCGGAGCGATTTTCCACAGATATATATAAACTTAATGGATACTGCAGGTACAGAGTTGTGCCAATAAGCGTAAGGATCAAAAGAGGAACATCGCGAAAATCGTAACCCGGTGGCTCTGTAAGGTACATGATACATACAACATAACTTATACACGATAAGGTCAATGACACGCGCGATTGCCGTAATATATACCTCCCCTGTTGCCGCCATTTTGACATCGCCTCTTTTCTTTTCCTCTCTTGGTATTGTGTTAAGTATACCCGACGCGTAAGGTGATGTGCATCTCTCCTTCCTCGACTCCAACCGTCCACCTGATGTATACATTATATATCGAGTACATAAAGAGCACGTGTACGTCGTTATTTAATGAAATTTATACATTATGTATATATATATATATATATGCGATACACAGACATTGTTTGTTGCGGAATCGCATTGCCAATTTTCGTTTGTGTTTATTNTTTTTTTTTTTTTTAATTTTCTACCTCAACTTGTTGCAATTAACTCCAGTTATTTTCTTACCTGGACCAATGTCCTTTACCGATCTCCCTTAGGCCCTCGTCGTTCTCGGTAGCGCAAGTTGCACCGCGGGCGTCCAGCTTTTGTTATTCGATGTCAGCTCGACACCTAGGGACTGCAGGACAACTGGTCCTGTTGTTGACATCGACGGCCCGACCGCAAGGCCAGGAGCTCCGACTCCGAGTCGCCGTGTGGGCCACTCGACGACGCCATGCGTCCTCGATTTTTCACTCGATCGAGCAAACGATGGGCCTTTTGTACTAAAAACTGCGCTGTTTCATTGCCGATGCACTTTTATTTTTTCCCAATGATTATTATTTAAACAGACACACTGTACACACACTGTCCACGATTTTGCGAGCGATGAGAGTATTTATATGATTGTGTTTCGAAGGATACAGGAAGAGAAGAACTCCTTTAACAGGTAATTGGTATATATGTTATACCTGACGTGTGCGTGGGAACACAAAAACAACACTTGATTTATTACAATATATTATTTACTCTGTTTCTCTGCAGTTGGCGCTTTACCTTCAATCACAATGTACAAGCATTTTAGGTAAGTACCTGCGCTCTTTTATCAGTATAAAAAAAAACAATTCACCTCTCATTTGATTTTTCGTAATCGATCTTTCGAATTGTTTTAGATTCCGGAGCTGCAGATGTAACGGCAAAACACTTTGATGCGCGAAAAAAAAAAAAAAAAAAGAGGAGGAGCCAATTATTTATAGCGACAACAACGCAAGTCCTTTTTATTCGAGGTGCATAGATGACATTAAGGTGTGTGTACCAGGTACCGAGAAACAGAGAGCTGTGAATCCCTGTAGTAAGGCATCGGTGGTCCATGCACGGGTTGACTGCGGTGGAGGGATCTCAAAACTAACGCACACAGTAATAAATCACCAGCACATTGAAAAAACCACCACCAGCAGCAGCAGCAGCACCCCAACTGTGTGACGGGACATACGATACATATAGGTGTACGGATACACAGGGAGAAAGAGAGAGGATACAAGTCGTCGGTCAGTGGCACAAAATGGCCGAGGAGGCGCAGGAGGCAGGAAAGTACAGTGGTTCACGGAGAGGTAAAGTTATCCATCGGCCGGGGCCGTGTGTGTGGCTCCGTTCCCGCTCGCTGGAGTCGAGAACCGAGACTGAAGGCTCTTTCTCTCGGCCGGTACGAACCTCCGTGCACTTGGCGGAGGCGCGCTCTCCGCAGCCCGTGTATATAATATACACAGAGAGCCCCCCGATGGGAATGGAAATCGGTATACTTATGCTTGTGTGCGTACGCGCGCGGGTAGTAAAATACAGAATCATGTACAGTGTACACCCACACGCGTCCCAACACACGACGTATCCAAGGCTTGGAGTAAAAAAAAAAAGGGAGAGAGCATATTATACCCTTACAGTCTTGCACGCGTGGGCGCTTACACGTATATACATATACACGTACGACTCTTACTGTCTCCCCTCGTTTCGTCAGCTCTTCCGAGGGGTGAAGGATCGCGTCTGCGCGTATACCTATACGTAGGCTCTTGCGTGCGCCTCCACGGAGACGAGGGAGAGAAAAAGGAATCAGCCCTCCGCTCGGCCACGATCGTTTCTCCTCCCCCTCGTTCTTCTTCTTTTTTATTTGCACGAGCCGAGTTTTTCTCTTCTTTTTCCCCCCTTACCTCCCGTTCATTGTTTTTGGTTCGAGTCGCTTATTCGTTGTTTTCTCCTCCTGAATGCAGGTACAAAGGGGTTTCAGAAGACGGGGAGGAGAGGTGGTTGCCGAGGGAGAACACTGCGGTTCGCGTATTTTGTTTGGGCCTTGTGGTTTTTAAAAACTTGCGGCCTCGAGTGCCAAACAATTATCATTCTATATGTACACATTGTCGAGATTTAGGAGTTGTTTGCCATCATCGAGATGAGACATCATTTTGATACTTACAACTAACCAAGCTCCGTTTTTTTTTTTTCTTTTCTTTTTCAAAACATTTGCAATCGAGTAGCTAATGATTATAAACGTGAACTCGTGATTTACAATTGAACAAAAGAGCGAAAATGTTTCCTCGCCAAGTTCAATTGGAAACACCTGGCACTCGCAATTCGAGGCAACAGCCAGATAATAAATTGTCCGAGCTTTCGGCAACTGCGCACTTGAGGTTTCACTTGCTGGCCAAGAAAGAGCCATTTCCATCTCTCGTGTTTCCAAACGAGACAAACGGATTGATCCCCATGATATTATGTATGGGGAAAAAAAAAAAAAGAAATTAGTCTTACACATGTACAAAACCAAACATTTTTGTTTTTTTTTCAGAGAAACAAACAATAGTACGGATGAAGTCTACAATACATATAAATTACAATAAGTACCATTCGAGTTATCCAACTGGTCCAAAGGGGATCGCCCCCACGCGGGAAAAGAGACTCCCCCGTCGTCGTCTGGGATATACATAATTCACAGTCAGCCCCAACCAGAGATCGAAGCGGAAACGAGAGCTTCGCAAGCACGCGCCCTCGATTGTGCTTGCGCATGCACTTTTTCATTAATTTTGTGTATCCTTCCCCCGTTCGATCCACGTTGGGGTGCACTCACGATTAGTACGGTGACGTCACAGCGACACTCTCGCCGTGATGGGGATGATGAACAACCCCGACGGCATCGGACGAGCTGCTTTTCTCAGGATTTTCTCTGCTTCCGCTGCGTAGTTAGGTATACACACACAGTTAGTGATCCCACAGCCTTGGAATGGAGGAAAGAAAGGAAAGAGCAAGACTTTTCCCATTGAAGGATCGTGCAGCGATGCATCCAGCCAAAACGCACACGTATATATATGCACCTCACCCAAACGAGAGGGAAGGGGCACAAAGTGTGGTTTGCTCTCCACGAAGAAAACATTCGTAGATAGTATACAAATCGTCGTCGACCGAAAACTTTCCACGTGCGCTTACCTATACACAGTGCATTTAGATTTATTGCCAAGATTGCGAGCGCCCCCAGAGTTTGTTAGGGCCGTTTTCGCAAGGAGAGTCTCGGGAGAGGTGGGATTTGGACCCTACCCGGAATTTCGGCAGTATCTTTACACGCGCACTCGTGATTTACGAGCTTTTGTGTCCACCTTTGCTCGCACGCTCGATATGCATTGCGAATGTCGAGCTGGTCAAAGGAGAGAATAAAAGTACCAATACACCGACTTCCGAAGGGGCGCTTCGTTTATGCTCTATTTTGTTTCGAGTAAATAAGGAATCCGTCGGGGTCCTCTGCTTCCCACAAAAGTCACGAGAAGCGAAATAAAAGAGGGACGCAAGCTCTCACTTTATACGTGTTGTATACACATACACGTTGTTTTTTAACAGAATCAATAAAACCAGATGCGAGAGAAAAACAATAGTATCTACATCGTGCATGTGTTATCGAGTTTAGAAGCAGCGCAAGCTCGCGCAATCGAGCCAACGACTTGCAAGAAAAGCGCGACGTCAATCGTAGCCTTGCAATGTTACGTACCACCTACGTATGCATTGCAAATGTCTTGTGCATCGACTTTTCAACCCCCCCAAGTGGCGTCACGCTTGCGTAATTGGCGACCAGCCAAACAAACTGGACTTTTGTGTCCTGTACTCACATACTTACAAAGGAAAGCTTCGCTTCCGGGAATTTCGATCCATCAAGATAGATTGAGAGAATAACAATAGCTAGGAAAATCAGAGAACGCACACCTACAGGATACTTATTTACCATCCCCTTCGCCAATATTGTGCTTTTTCTCTTTTTGAATGGATTTGATGTCACATGTAGGTTTATAATGCAACATGCGACCGTTCAGTTGTGGGATGAGAGGTAAGTATTCGGTGGGTTAGATGTTACGCCGGGCAAGGCTCTTCGTTATTTCATTCTATCGATCCACTGTATTCATGTTACGTACCTATACACGCACAGGAAAAGTGATAAACTTCTTTTTTTTTTTTTTTTTTTTTTTCGCTCCTTACAGTTCCATTGGGGTTTTGAATGGGGAACATTTTTTGTAGTTCTACTGTTTCCCTCTGAGACAATGTCTATTCTGATTTTTATTTGAATCACCTTGTATATCGGCATAATTAATAAAATTAATCTCGAAGTTGGTGGGTGCTAGGGGTCGCGCTGTCCACACACTTTGATCACGATAAAAAGTACAGGAATATCAATAAAAAATTTTTGTTTATTTTTGCAGCGTTGATATGTTTATACATTAGGCCTACTTCGTATTTAAAAATGTTTTTTTGCTTATTTTGAATAGTTTTTTTTTATCAAGTTAAAACAAAAAAAAAATGATTATGGTTCAATTACAATGTATATTTTTGCGATTAAACTTTACCTTGTCTTCACAATGCAGTTTGTCTAATTTTTACAAATTCCACCAGAAATATTATAAATATGAATTAGGTAAGAAGGTAGGTATTTAATTTAACGAGTGGAAATTGCAAGAGGCGAAAAGAGAGCTACCAGAGTCATCTGTAGTGTAAAAAAGTGTATGGCTGATTCTACCTTATTGACAATTTTCAAAATGACTAGAAAAAAATAGTATTTATTTCGCGTAATATAAATATCGCAATTGTTGGCAAATTCGTTACAAAAATACTCAATATTGAATAAATGGCACTTGGTAATATCATTTCAATTACATCACTTGTTTGCTTATTCTTTTATACAAATACGTATATGGGGGGACAAAACTTCACAAGTTCTTATAGTTTTTTATCACGTTCTCAACCTTACCAAAGGCCTCCAAAAAATCATCTTCCTCGAGTCCAAACTTTTTGTACTGGTGTAAAAAGGCCCCGTGTACATAAGTATTCCATGCCTTGGTCACGATACCATCTAAAGTCTGAGAGACCTTGGCATTGTTTGTTACGAGAGCTAGAAACTTTTCGTGATTCACAAGCCTTCTCTGCTGATTTAAACACGTCAGCTGGTCGGACGAGCCCAGCCAGTCGACGTACATGGCCTTGTTTTTAAACTCGTCACAGGTCAAGGGATCGTTTTTGGTGAATTTGCCTCGCGATACCAAAACGTTGGTTACCGATTTGTAATACGACTGACCCGATTTTAAGGTCACGGGTTTCACGTCTGTCTTTCCGATCGCTGGGCATCGCAGAGATTGCTTCAGATGTTTTACGTACAGTCCCCAGCTGTAGGCTGACTCAAACTCACTGACTCTGGGTGGTACGTACGGAGTGCTTTCGATAGTCGCGATTTTGTAGCTCGGGTGGCAAGCTACCGTTGAAGTCAAGTAATTCGCATTGCACCAGACATCGTTTACAGGCTGAAAGACAGAGCACAACTTCCTCGATATCACGTCGTTCATGTCCATCAATTTGGTATCGGTGTTTTTCAAATCCTTTGTGCAAATGCTGTGAACGTGCTCGTTTTGGAACAAAAGGGTCAAGTCAGCAGTTTCGTTGAATCTGGCAATTGTCAGCATTGTGTTGTAATTTTGCACCCCAACTTCTCCCGACGTAAACGGCAGCACGATCGAGCCTACGATCGTCTTATTGGGAAACTCGTTCCTCAGTAGATCGACAGTGTAGCTGCCGACGCCAGACCCTGTTCCTCCAGCTGAGCTCAACAGAAGTAAGATTCCATCAAAGGAGTCGTTTTTCTCGATTTCTCTTCTACTGTATTCTAAAATGTTATCCTTAAGTTGCGGTCCCTTGACTAATGAGCCAAAGGCCCAATTATTGGCTGAACCTCCTGCAGATTGGTAAATAAAATTCTGCGAGTTGTAGGCCCAGTGATCTTTGGTATCTCTACGAATACTATTGATGACCTTGTGCTCGGTATCAAGTAATATCGCTCTGGCAAGGCGCTTTCCATCTTTGTTTAGCCCAGTAAACCATTTCTGGAAGCTCTGCTCTGTGTAAGTACTGTTGTCTTGCTTCGAGATAGCAGTGTCCTTGGCATTTAAATCGTCGGACAGTTGACTGAACAGCGATTGCCCCAGTTGATTTCCACATTGTCCAAATTGAATTGTTAGCATACCTTTGATTTTAGCGCTAGATATAAAAGATACGTTGATGGAGTCTCCACGTGAATCTGAAAGTGATGACAAATGTGTTTTTATTGACTAGGGTAGATTTTTATGTAAACTGTCTTGCAAAATCCAAGAGAAACTCTAAACAACGTTGTTCAAACAAATCAACTCACCTTGAGTGGTCAATGAAACTTTATTCTTCTGTTCGCTAAAAGCATTGGCCTTTTACCTAAAACAAAGTATTAAAGCAATTGACTTAGTAATTAAAATAAGTACACAATTAGGAGCACAAATCACATACTTAATTTAGAAAACATAATTAATATCTGTAATATTTCTTTACCTGCTATCTCGTGCACAGCATTTATGTAAGTGCATATACTGTTGTATAGCAAACAATCACTGTATTGACTGCTTCGTACTTAAACAATAAGTGGTACTTAAATAACAGCGGTGTTTGTTTTACATCCTTACATTGCGTACTGAAAAATAATACTACGATGCTAATTAAGTACTCGCAAAAAATGAATATGTAACGATAAACGATATTCAGTTTACAGTCACCATCTCGCGCGGCTGATTTATAACGCGAGATGGCGCTGATCCCGAAATGCACTAGTGCATCTACTTATAGTAGAACCATTAAATTAATTAGTAACCAGCCGCAACTAATTTTAAAAATGAATGATAAAAATTTAATTATTTTGTGTGCTGTTTGCGGCAAGTATACAATCTATCTTTTACCCGAACATTGACTTCCACAACTGCAAATATTTAGGTCATTTTTTAAATAAAAGATAAATTGTAAACTTGTCGCAAACAGCACAAACGATGTTCACTTTTTATTTCCTATTTATGATATTAGTTGCGGCTGGTTTATAATTAATTTTATGGCACTACTGTAAGATGTAATAATTATTTGGATCAGCGCCATCTAGCGGTCGTGATTTTTTTGGCCAAAAATTGCTTCTGAAATTCTGAAGGAGAGCTTTAGGCAGCTTAGCCCTAGAGTCATTTAATTACTTATAAACCAGCCGCAACTTATGTGATAGATACAAAATAAAAATTTAACGATGTTTGTGCTGTTTGCGGCAAGTTTACAGTGTATCTTTTACTGAAAAGTAAAAATATATAGAAAGTCGATATTCAGGTAGAAGATAATTTGTAAATTTGCCGCAAACAGCACAAACATCGTTAAATTTTTATTTTGTATCTATCACATAAGTTGCGGCTGGTTTATAAGTAATTAAATGACTCTAGGGCTAAGCTGCCTAAAGCTCTCCTTCAGAATTTCAGAAGCAATTTTTGGCCAAAAAAATCACGACCGCTAGATGGCGCTGATCCAAATAATTATTGCTACATATAGTATGGCTATTTAATTATCAATAAACCAGCCGCAACTAATTTTATAGATAAGTGATACAAATTAAACATTTTCTAAGCTATTTGCGGCAAGTTTTCAATTTATTTTCTACCCAAAAGTATAAATATATAGGGGGTTAATATTCGGCTAGAAGATAAATTGTACACTAGCCGCAAATAGCACAAACGGTGTCAACTTTTTATTTTCTATTTATATAATTAGTTGCGGCTGGTTTATAATTGATTACATGGCTCTACTGTAAGTTGTAATAATTATTTGGATCAGCGCCATCTAGCGGTAGTAATTTTTTTGGCCAAAAATTGCTTCTGAAATTCTGAAGGAGAGCTTTAGGCAGCTTAGCCCTAGAGTCATTTAATTACTTATAAACCAGCCGCAACTTGTGTAATAGATACAAAATAAAAAATTAACGTTGTTTGCATTGTTGGCGGCAAGTTTACAATTTATCTTTTACCCAAAAGTATAAATATATAGGAAGTCGATATTCGTGTAAAAGATACATTGCAAACTTGCCGCAAACAGCATAAACAATGTTAACTTTTTATTTTATATTTACAAAATTAGTTGCGGCTGGTTTATAATTGATAAAATGGCTCTACTGTGAGTAGTAATAATTATTTGGATCAGCGCCATCTAGCGGTCGAAACTTTTTTGGCCAAAAATTGCTTCTGAAATTCTGAAGGAGAGCTTTAGGCAGCTTAGCCCTAGAGTCATTTAATTACTTATAAACCAGCCGCAACTTGTGTAATAGATACAAAATAAAAAATTAACGTTGTTTGCATTGTTGGCGGCAAGTTTACAATTTATCTTTTACCCAAAAGTATCAATATATAGAAAATTAATATTCAGGTAGAAGATAATTTGCAAACTTGCCGCAAACAGCATAAACATCGTTAAATTTTTATTTTGTAACTACGCAAGAAGTTGCGGCTGGTTTATAAGTGATTAAATGGCTCTAGGGCTAAACTGCCTAAAGCTCTCCTTCAGAATTTCAGAAGCAATTTTTGGCCAAAAAAATCACGACCGCTAGATGGCGCTGATCCAAATAATTATTACAACTTATAGTAGATCCATAGAATCAATTATAAACCAGCCGCAACTAATCTTACAGATAGAAAATAAAAAGTCAACATTGTCTGGGCTATTTGCAGCAAGTATACAATTTATCTTTTACCCGAAAATCTTCCTCCAAAAGTATAGATATTCTACTTATATGGTTTAATAAAATCGACCATATGGCACTACTTAGAAGTGATTACTATAATTACTACACATAACTTCGTGTATATCTTACACCGTGCTCTTTTTGCCAGAATGATAAAATCATAGATTGAATGAAAACTTCAAGAGCTTATTTAGGCAAGAAAACGCGAGTGCTTTGATTAAATTAAAGCTGTATTAAAAAGTTTCAAAGACATCAAACAACACAAAAAAACTATGGATCAGCGCCATCGAGTGATATTTTTCTTCTCAACTTTTTATACTACTTGTGGAAATTGTTAAATTAAATATTTTCTTTACCATTAATTATATGAATCTTGACTCAAACTTGATAAAAAAAAACAACTTTCAAATGACAGTAAGTATACCGACAGAACGCATCCTTCTTTCCTTCTGTTGTGGAACGAATAATTGATTATTATTTGGGTTTTTACCTTTATCAAATAGTTATTTATGCACAATTCTTATCGATTTCGCAATTGACACTCTTTTGCTTCCTTTAAGATTGCCATAGACATTCTGTTTTCACATTTTCGAAGCAATTTTCCATTTCTTTCAATTTTTCGTTTCCTCCTGCTAACGTACAACATCTACATAATTATATATTAATCATACATTGTATTGTCTCGCGATTTCAAGCACATATATATATATACATTATACACCATGATGTTATTTATAAGACGAGACAAAGAGCGTGTATTCAAGTCAACAGTAAGAAGAAGAAAAAAGAGCAAAAGCTAAGTAGCTAAATGCTGCTATCTGCATATATATTGGTAATAAAAATCAGGTTTATAATTGTCTTCATCATTTTTGTAATGTGTAATGAAGCGACTGCAAACGTTACGTAATTTCTAAAAGCGATGAATTATCCACGCAGTTTGTCGAATAAATATTTTCAATGAATGTAAGTTGTGATTTTACAATGGATAGACCAACATCGGATGGATTGAGGTATTTTTTATTTATCTTGTATACAATGTTTTATTCTTTAAGACGCAGTGCTTAAATGTGGATATGATTAAACGATCGAGGAAAAATAAATTGGTAAGTATTTACGGTTGATTAGATTATAAGAATCGTAATACTATAATTTATCTGTCATTTTATGTACTTGAGGAACCTTATAAAAATGTAATGTGTTTGAGACACACGTTTTTATATTTTCAATGTTACTCTACAACATTTTTTTTTTTCGCCCACCAATGTGATGGTTTTTAAGGCAATCCAGAGTCATAAGCTTTCCAAAATCATTGAAAAAAAAATTGCAAAAGTCTTTCGATGTCCTTCAAAGACTTGACAATTTAAGAGAGTACTTACTCGAACAGAAAAAATTTTTTCTTAGCAAGAAACCTCAACCTAGACCGAAATCTATACGCTTGTTAACAAATTCCGGAGCTAAAAGAGGACTCTGACAAAAATTATTAGGGATCTAAAAAAACAATGTTTGGATACTTTTTTCTGCTTTCTTTTTATGATGTGTATACAGCTGTGTATGAACAGACTACCACTTTTATCGATTTATCGTACAATAAAAGAAAAAAAAAAAAAAAATTGATATAAATAAGAATCCACTACTTTGACTTGTTAATCGGTTGTTCAACAATTACAATCACCTCAGTTCCGTTTCGCTTCACTGATTAATCGAGATTAAAATGAGCGATTCGTTTGATTAACATAGAAAGTGTTTCAATCTCCGTTAATCAATAAAAATTTTGTGATTCCCCAACGAATATATTGAAAAAGCAAACATTTTGCCATTTTAAACAAATGATTCCTTACAAAAAGAAGAATAAAAAAAAAAAAAAAAAAATCTGTTTTTTACGCTCCCACGAATATAATAAAAGATAAAACAAATCATGTGCCGCGCTCACAGATAATATCTGATCGGTGTCGTGTACCTACGCGTGCCACATTCACACACAATTCATCCACGCACACTGCAATGCTGCATGATGTTTTATGCAAAGATACAAGAGAGTAAGCGATGGTTGAAAAGAGAGAGAGAGAGAAAGAGAGTAGGGGGAGGGACGCGCAAAAAACTCGTATCGGCAACCCAAACAGGTCTTTATTTGTCTCCAGTTCCTTGCCTCCGTCGGTTCGCCGCTTGCGTTATCATCATCATCCCACTCGCATCAGGTCGGCATTTACTATCTCACGTTCGCACACACTCTCCACGGTGCAACGAAACGTTCGCATCCCAAATTTATCGTGTGAGGCGTGTACACTTTTTTTAAATAAGTATACCGATTTTGCAATCGCGTCGAGCAATTTTCATTCCTCCAGACGCTAGAGCGTATATATGTATACCCTTATAGGCGCAAGAGTGTAAATTAAAAAAAAAAAAAAAGTGCGAGAGAGAACGAGGAAAACATCTCGGTGTGCGCTCATTTCGTACCGCACGTATACGGATCGCGAGGCTGGAAAACCCCAACGCGCAGGAGTCATCGACGCTGGTGCGCCAAAAGTGCTTTGCATGTAAAATATATGTAAAATATATGTAAAATATTGCGCGTAAAGTGTGGTGAGTGTAAAAAAGTGTATGTTTTATACAGCTTTTTGAAAAAAGAAAAGAAATCGGCAACGATGATCGGTAATAGTCAGTAATAAATGAGATCGCGGCGAGTGTAGTAAGTGATATTTAAAAACAACACACGTCAAATATACACACGAGCGTAAGCGTATATACACCTGGCCATAGCCAAAGATGGCAAGCGCGCGCGAGATAAGCCAGTTTTATCGGGAGAGGGCGAGCCCATGTTAGTGCCCCGGCGGGCATGCACGTACGCGGCTTTGGCGACGAGCACTGGGGAGTATGGCCCAGGCGTACGGCACCGTCATCCTCGAAGTCGATGTTCTGGAGGACAAGCAGCGGCCGGCGGAGGAGCCGGCAAAGGGCCCCACAGCCGCTGTGCATCGGGCCTCGAAAGTCGAGGAGTCGAATTGCGGGGTGTACTCGGACGCCGACGAGGACGGAGATGGGTCGAGCACGTCCTCGAGCGACGCCGAGGCAGAAGAGGCGCCCGAGGAGGAGTTGGCGGGCAAAGGGTGGTTGGCCCACCGGATGAACGGCGTGGCCCTGCCCAGCGTCGAGCCGCCCAACTTCGGCAACGTCAAGGTCGAGAACTCGACCAACGTGCATCTGGGCAACAGGACGTTCTACAAGGGCCCGGTCACCATTAAACAGGTCGTTTACGCGTCCAACACGACGACGGCGGTCGTGGACAGCAAGAACGGGGCTGTGACGGACAGCGGGACCACGAGTCTGGACGGCTCCTCGGTCACGTTTTGCGAGCAACCGGCTTGGAAGGGCGCCAGAGGTTTGTTCGGTGCACTATATCGCATGCCGGAGTTGTGCCAATTGTCTCCGCTTTTTTTTTTTTTTTTTCATCAACTTAAATTTAATTGAGCATAGAATGTAGATTTCGATCGGTGTGCGATCTAATCGATGAAGAGAAAATCAACAACGTGGCAGGACAAAAGTGTATATATTTGTCGTGTTCACTACATAATTGGTGAAAAAACAAATGTACCTACCTACGTTGTGAGAAGAAAAAAAAAAAAAAAAAAAAAAAGAAAAGTTTTGACGATATTCTTTGTTTCTTGCAGTGTCGAGGTTCGTTTGGAGGCATCGATGTACCATAGCTGTGGCTACGGTCGCAGTGATAGTTGTCGCGCTAATAACAACGATAGCCCTGCAGCTGTCAGGTATTGCCGACTCGACGAAACGGGTACTCCAAGCTTTTCCCAACGACACGTCGATAAACAATGGTATCTTTTTTTGAGAGATCAAACAACATCATTTTGTAGTTTCTTCAAGCAAAGCCCGCTCGCAGGGGTCTTTTTAACAATTCTTTTTGGGTAACGATGTTTGAAAATTTGTCTTGGCTTTTGCGTAAAAATACGACAACAAATTAACACTTTTCTAACGTTTTCGTTCACTTTTTTTTTCGTTGCTTGCACAGCATATATTTTTCTTTTGCTCTGCCACGCTCGACCTTTCCGTCTCAAGTTCTTACAACGAAATGGTGATGATTATGCACGCATCATTTGTTCTAAGAGCGGAATTGGTGGTCAAGAAGAAAAAGAAGTGACACGAAGAACATCAAAGTATTTAAATTAAAAGAAATAGTCGCTTGTGCGTGCTAAAGCTTACTAATAAATTCAAGTTGAAGGGAATTCACCTCATTGAGATGGTAATAATTAACACAGTCTCCATACATAATTTTCCAATTCGCCATAACTCTTGAATCAACTCTATTTTGGCTTTCCTTTGCTTTGTAAGATGCAAGACTCGAAAGGTTTAAGTTTTCCGACTACTTAATTATACAAAAATGCTTTTGAATTTTTTTTCTCTTCCAAATAGCTTTGTTTTGTACTGAAAAATATTTCAACGCTAAGTATTGAAAAAAAAAAAAAAAAAAAAAAGAAAAAAAAAATTCATACCCAAGTCCAATGAAAACAAATGGTCTGTTTTATACAATCACACGCAGTCTTTTACAACATACAACCGATAAACTTTATGAAATCTCTCGAAAAAAGATAACACGTTTTTGTACGCACATACACACATACACACACACACACACACACACACCAGAATCTGTATCACACACTCAAAGCTTTTGTTTGGAAGAAAAACCTTGTTCGATAACAAATAACGCAATGAATTAAGAGCCATTTCCATTCTAGATCCGACGTTCGAGGGTGTACGTATCGTTTCGAGGGTCGAGTGGGTGGCCCAACCCCCCGTTAAACCACCGGCACCCTTAAAGGTCCATCCCGCCGTTTACGTGATAATAAGCCACACGGCGACGATTCCTTGCTTCACCCAGGCCCAGTGCGTTCTTAACGTACGCTACGCCCAAACGTTTCACATCGAGTCCAAAGGGTGGAACGACATTTCTTACAACTTTTTGGTAAATCCTCGACACGCAAAAAGCTAACACGTATAAAAACACACCGAGAGTTGATTCGATTGTGTACGTATATTTGAAAAAGGTCGGCGGCGATGGTTTGGTGTACGAGGGCCGAGGCTGGGGCATCGAGGGGGCCCACACGTTTAACTACAACATCAAGAGCATCGGCATCTCGTTCATCGGGACGTTCAACAGCGAGAAGCCGACCAACGCCCAGGTCCACGCGGCCAAGAAGCTGATCGAGCTTGGGGTGGAAAAAGGCGAGATCAGCCCGGATTACAAGTTGCTGGGGCACAGGCAGTGCATCAAGACCGAGAGCCCCGGCCAGGTGCTGTACGAAATCATCCAGACCTGGGACCACTGGTCGCCCACTCCGTGATAAGGCCATAATCAACCGAGTGATCGTTTTTTTTTCGATAACGAATACATTTTTACGCCTTCGTCGACTGATGGCCATACACTTACAAGCTATGTACAAAAAGTTACTCATCGAACCTGATTAATCATTTTCGATGCGTCGTACTGATATACGTATATAGTTATTTGATCCTCATGTATCACAAAGCGGTGTTATTTGTGCTTAAAAAAAATCAACTCGTACATGATTATTTATTGTTACAATGTTTCACCATCATCATCATCATTATATTATACTCGAATGAGATGCGGAAGGAGAAAGGTATGTCCAAGCGACGTGTTTATAGTTTACCATATTGTGTTATGAGCGATTCGATTAGATTTTTTTCAATACGCGCTGTTGCGCAATACCGTCATGTATACTTATGGTGTGAAAAGTATCATTTTTTGAATACACTTTATTGTTTTATAATGGAAATTTGGAATTTTTATTAAAAAGTCCATAATATACTCCGTTATTTAGCACTTATCCTTATAGTACGCGATGTATATATATCCCATAAATTCTGTGAACCGACACCCACGAGTATATTTTTTTAGGTTCGAACGAATCAAAAGCTAAGAAAAATTTTGCAAACGATAATTTTGTATTATGCAACATAAGACATTTTGAAAACTATAAAGTTAGTAGAAAAAAAATATATATATATATATATATTTCCACGTATCCTTCGTTTCCCGCAGTGATTGGAGAGCCGCTCTTCCGGATAGTCCCCGCGAGTGTCTCGACATGTTGCCTCCACCGAATGTGATAATAATACACACGGCCACACAGTCCTGCCTTTCGAGATTAGAGTGTAGCCAAAGGCAGACATTGGTTACTCTTTCATGATCAGCAGTGACGGTGAGGTTTACGTCGGCCGCAGTTGGGACATCCAGGGAGCCCTAATACTTACGGGTACAATAGAAAAAGCATCGGAATAGCCTTCATCGGAACGTTCCTAACAACAGAGCCGACCGATAGTCAACTCGACGCTGCCAAAAGATTGTTGGAACTCGGTGTCAAGGATAACAAGCTGGCAAAGGATTATAAACTCTTGGCTCACTGCCAGGTCTTGTCTACGGAGAGTCCTGGGCAAAAACTGTACAACATTATCCAAAAATGGGATCACTGGACGGATAAACCTTGAAGAACGTTGTTTCCTCTCCATCGGAGGGTTTTAATTGCGAAACCCAAGCTGCACTGCAACAAAAAACATTCAAAGAAATATTTTTTTTTTTAATATTTACTAAATAAATACTACAAAAGCATATTTTACGTGTCCTCTCGATTTACATTTGATTCGCGACATCCTTCTACAATGGGAAAAGCAATTGGAACTCTAAAAATAATTAACATTTTTTTCAAAGGCCAACTACCGTTGGAATCGTGTATCTGATTCTATATGTAATTGTCAGTCCATACATAAGTTCTGAGATTCCAAAGAGAAGGGGAATTGATTAAAGACTTTATCAGTCGAACGATGTCAGCGTATAGAGTTAGTGTAAAATTCACCTCAAGAGCTACAAGTGTTATCGTTAATGTCAATAGTAATAGAAGTGAGAAGTAAATACAAAAATTGCACATAAGTGTAATTAGCAATAATATCGATAAGACATGGCTAAAGTTTTCAAGACATATAATGGATGATAATTTGAAGACAAGTATTGAAGAAACCACCAGTGATATTGAGATATTTTCAACTCGAAATTTTCAACTGGTCATTGATTCGGATGAAAATGAAAGTTCGTCGTCATGTCGCGACAGTGATAACTCACAATCTTTGAGTAGTGCTGGCAATCGAAATTACAAAATTATCAGTCCACCTGTTACTTCAGCAGTGCTTGTGGAACGTGAGATAAATGGAGTTGCTTTACACGACGATTATCCGTCTGTTTTGTGCGAAGAGATAAACATTAGTAGCTCCAACAACGTTCACATCGGGAGCAAACACGTTTACAACGGACCCGTGACGATAAATCAATACATACACGGTAATCTCGATCCTTTGGCCGAAAGGGACCCACCCGGAAATAAGTCCAATGAGCACTCCGAGCACGAAGGGACCTCGTGCTCCGAAGACGAGCGAGCACACAGATTTTTATGCAGACTCAAATTTTATTTGACCGATGAAAGTAAGTTGAGGACCTTTTAGAACAAAAATACTTAATGTCCACAAAAAAAAAAAAAAAAAAAAAGCGATACATTTTCGTCCTAATATGGCACGAAGGTGCTCGCGTCCGCTTTGCAGGGTAACGTCAAGGTTGAATTTCTTGCATTAAAAACTGCTTACGCTTCTTGCAGTCACTATTATCTACCATCACGTAACAGTTACATTAGATATTGATTTTGCAGAATGGCATCGGACAAGATTGTACACCATTGTAATATGCACGATTATATCGATAATAATACCAACGGCTGTTATAAGTACGCTGACAACATCGGTCAATGCGCCACCACCACTTGGTTTGTTCATAAATACGTAATCATAGTATACATGGAGTTTTTTTAAATTTACACTTTGTAGACGTGCCATTACCACCAACTAATCCTGTGAACATAACGCAATTGACACAAAACTCGGTTGTGATACATTGGGAGATGCCAGAATACGATGGGGGATCCACAGTCAAGGCTTATAAAATTGAGAAAAAAGATGTAAACGAGTCAGAGTGGATTGAAGTAGGCCGTACTCCAACTCAAGAAATAGTTGTAGAAAATTTACAAACTCATCACGAATACGTTTTCAGTATTTCTGCTGAAAACATAATTGGCCTGAGCAAACCCCTATTCACTCAATCACCGTTTGAAATCAAACCAAGTTAATACGCATTATTATTTGTTACATTCACTTATAAAAGCCCGAGAAAATTTTTTCACCAAAACCTGATAATACGTTGCTGTTTAGTGGTACCATCTCCACCAACATCACTGGAAATTCATCAGATATCGGATGATACTGTTGTCATAGAGTGGAAAGTACCAAGACATAACGGAGGAGTCGAGCTGGAAGCTTACAAAATTGATCAAAAAAACATTTTAAATTCCAACTGGTCAGAAGTTGGTTGTGTTAATGCCAGCATCCTAAATTTAATTGTTAAAGAGCTAGAAATGTATAACGCCTACTACTTCAAAATTTATGCAAAAAATAAAGTTGGTCTTGGTAAGCCAATCGAATCTCAAGAACCTATTCAAATTCAACCAAGTAATAAATCTGGTATTTGCAAAATTTTTTTTTAAAACGCATTTTGATTATCTGAAAATCTTCTTACAGTTGACAATCCGTTTGAAATCGTTAGTCGTCAAAGGTGGGGCGCACTAAAGCCTCGGATACCACCAATACAACTTGAAGTGAGACCACCTCGTTACGTGATTATTTGCCACACGTATTATTGGTATTGTAAAACGATAGACTCATGTACGACAGTTTTAAAAAAGCTCCAAAAATCGGCAATCAAAAGTGGCTACGGCGACATTGAATACAATTTTGTGATTCCCTTTGACGGTAATGTTTACCAAGGCCGTGGATGGAACACCGAAGGCAATCATACTTTGGATTTCAACAACAAGAGTCTCGCGATCGGCTTCGTAGGGAATTATGACATTTTCAAACCGACAAAAGAACAACTTGATTCGTTAAAAAAGCTTTTACGTTTGGGCGTTAAAGAATTCAGGATGGCTAAAGAATATGTATTGTTGGGTCAGAAACAAGTAATGAAAAATACGACGAGCCCCGGCAAATACCTGTATGAGCGAATCCGCACTTGGAAACATTGGGCTTCGGAACCTTGAAGTACCTCGGAAAACTCTCAGTTTTTCCCAACCTGCAGTACTCTGTTACAATTAAAAATTAGACTGTCATTTTTGTCAACAGATTTTTTAACGAATTTAAAGATTAAATTTTAACGAAAAATTGGTATGGATGCTAAAAAACGAAAAGTTTGATTCCGCGAGGATATCTAAAACATTGCAAAGTAAAATTTCGTAAAAATGACTAATTTTTTTTCATCAAAATCTCTCTCCTGTCGGTTCCACATCGGAAAACATTTCTCAAATTTATCAAACGAGTACAAGTAAGTAACATCGAGCAAATTTTTCCGCGAACGAGTTACAGTGATACTCCCATACGAGTCGTAAGCAATAGTCTCTGCATAAGCATCAATCACATTGTAAAATTAAGCAATGAATCGGAAGAAGGGGAGTCTAGCTCCCTCATGGACGAGAAATACATGGTCCAGAGAAGCTGGCGATCAGTCGCGGATCAAACGTATACGTGCACGAACAACGCACGCGATAGGCACGCAGCCCCACAAATGCACCAGTTGTATTGAAACTTTGTTTTCATTGCTAGCTTGATACATTTGTAATAAACATAAGTATACACGTACATTCGTTTTGGCGTGAAAATGGAATCCCCGTCGTTGATGTTTAAGGCCGTAATTTTATTCATCGGGATCATCATGACAACAGCTAACGATCTCGATCGTAAGTAGGAGTATGGTTTTTGCAAATGAAAAGTTTAAGTATAGTGACGAAACAAATCAAAACTATAAATAGAACTGAAATTCCATTATTTTTTGTTGTTGTTATCTGGTGTTTGAATCGCATTATCACGCGATCGCGTGAAACGATCGTGTTCACAGCCGGCAATGATTTCGAGAAAAAATCGGAGGACGTGCGCATAATAAAGCGAGTCGCGTGGGGCGCCCAGCCGGCAACCGACTCACCTCGACATCTCAAAGTTCAGCCAGCCCCGTACGCCATAATCAGCCACACGGCGACGCAGTCCTGTTACAACAAGGCCAAATGCATACTGAACGTGCGGGTCATTCAGACCTTCCACATCGAGGCCAAAGGGTGGCTCGACGTCGGCTACAACTTCTTGGTGGGTATACAATTCGTTGGATACTTACGCGCGAGCTTGAAAACCACCAGAAAGGAAGAAAAAATTATCAGAGTCGTTACATATCATCTGCTTCTATATTTTAATCATTTCGCAACTTATTTAATTGTCCAGACTAAGATTTCGGATATAACAATAGGTGTGCAAGTTTCCGCGCAATATTTACCCAATATGTTGAGCACATTACCCACGTGCGTCGTGATCGAAATATCGTTTGTCAAATTAATAATGAAATGATTTTTTAAACGGAGAACATTCTTTTCTTCTCCAACAGTTTTGTATTTCTTCTAAGATACGTCAGTTTTTTTGTTCGTAATATTAAAACATGATCATCAATTTTTTACGAAACAACAATTTTCCACGAATTTTTAAAATACGAACCGAATACTTACGAACCGGAAAAACAAAATTTAATGTTAAAAATTTTTTTGTAAAAATGATGAAACATGATAAAACTTTTAAAAGGTTGGGGGCGACGGTAACGTTTACGAAGGCAGAGGATGGGACATGGCCGGTGCTCACACGCACAACTACAACAACAGGAGCATCGGGATAGCATTTGTGGGTGACTTTAGTTACAAGAGCCCGACCAAGGAACAAATTGCTGTGGCCGAAAAACTGCTCGAGTCTGGGGTGAAGAGTAATAAGCTGGTCAAAGATTACAAGCTTATCGGCCAGAGACAAGTGGTGCACACCCAAAGTCCTGGGGATAAGCTGTTTGCCATTATCAGAGCGTGGGAGCACTTTACCAGTAATCCTTGAATCGATAGTTTTTTTTTAATTTTATGTTGTAGTTGTTTATTAGTGCGCTTGGCAATGCTTTAGATAAATTTTCTTCCGCTTCTAAATATGTATTTATATGAGATAAACCGTAACGAGATTAACTAGTGAATTGAATTAAAATTTTAAAACAGGTAGTTATTTAATACATAAGGTGTAAATTTAACTTTAAAAAAAAAGAAGTTTCTATATCTATAAAATTACGTACCTGCAGGGCGAAAAATTTATCAGAACAAGGGTTTACGTTAACATATCTTTCATTATCTAAAGAGAAATTGTTTTCCCAATTTGAAAAACAATCTTCTTTACAGTTAGAAAAACAACCTTGAATTTAATGTCTATAAGACATATTTTATTAAAACGTATACATACGCCTCTTGTACAGCTTTAATAAAAAACTGAAAACCAGATAAAATTAAATATTAAGAGTTTTTTTTTTCAACGGTTAATTTTTCATTAGATAAAATCAGGTAAAAAATGTGAAGTCTGTTGTTTGAGACGTAGCACTTTTAGAACTTGCTTACCTTGTAAATAGACTAGCAGTGCTATCACTCAAATATAATATGAGAAAAAAAATTGTGGCTTATTTAAGTATAAAATGGAAAAAAAACTGCTACGTAAGAGCTACAATGTGTCTTTTTTTTCTAACAAATCAAGAATTTACAATTATTCATCAATAAATATTTAAATCCAATTTTTAAATTGATGCGTACAAAAAAAAATAAATGTTTCACGCCATACTCATTTTCTTCTGGTATTATAAATAAATAAATACATAAACACCCGTGATATGAGACGTCAACATTTTCGATAGATATACATTACCGTTAAACTAAGAGTGTTAAAAGTACGTATCAATAAATGTCCCGTGCGATAATGGCTACTTATTGTCCGAGTGTGTAAAATATGGGCAAATCAGGTCTGGATTGAACCGCAATACTTAATGACACTGTAAATATAAGAGAATAAAGGTCAAAATGACTGTCCCGTACGTGTCCTGTTCGTCTCTTTTTTGCACATCGTAGATCCTAGCTATTTTCATGCATCTCGTTCGAGCGACAATTTAATCGTGTAATGTCTGGTCGGGACCCCGAACAGGAAGAGAAATTTTGCTGCCAGAGTAGAGTGACGAGACTATCGCATGCATGTGTGCATGAGTTATCCAATCCTCAGTGATGACTAAACTATTTTTAGCCATACTAAAGTTATATATATATATNNCACCACCACCATATATATATATATATAAAGTTAGTCATAAAAAATGTATTATTTATTAAGGAATCAATTCATCACGTTTATTAGTTAATTTGGATATCAATCAAAAATTATCCGATGTCTTTATATTTATGTTTGTTTATCGAATAAGCGTATTGTGATCGACTGATAGAGTTAAACTTTTTTTTTCGCTATTCGCTAAAAAACTTGAAGAACAAATAAAATTAATTGTAGATTTGGACAATGAAATAAACGAGTGGGCAAAATGAAAAATTTCGAGTGCCTCGTAGATTTCATTTTAGTGTCTATAGCTCGTCCACACAACTCCAGTGTTTTTACTTCCCATGCCAATTAATCTTGCTTATCTTTTTGAAATTTAAATATTATTTTTAAGGTTATTGTTGTAGTTCCAATGTTTTATAGTATCATCAAATTTTAAATAAGTGTCTGTGTATGGCTCAAGGGAGAAGAAAATGATACCTCAAACTCTTCAAATTTGCTGTGAAAAATCTGTCCCTTCGAATTGCTGGGGAAAAATTTTCAAAATTTTGATTATAATATATAACATTTTGTTTGCTACTGCTAAATGTTTTTTCCACTGGCAGCTCTTTTCTTGGAAAATTTAAGTTTACATATAGGACTGGTACCGGTGTGTAAAACAATACCTTCAAAATAAATATGATTTAAAATTGTGTCATTGCATTGAAAATTTAACAAGACGTTGTTCTAAGTAAAGCTTGCGAATCGATCTGGCAGCTCGTTGGCTGACGCTTCTGTGGATAGCAAATCACGGAAGACCAAACCATCCTCATTCTTGCGTGCTACCCAATAAGGTTCAAACAAGTCTCTTTTACTTGCAGTGCTTTGGAAGGTAAGAATAAGTATGAGCGCAAATTGAAATTGTGCATACGACACTCACTGCACACATTTGCTAGAGTATGGGTGCCTGTACATGGGCGTCTTACAGTCTTATAGTCTTAAGCCTGTAAGCCACACCTATGGCGGTTGATTTAATTCAAACTGATGTTAATTGAATACCGATATAAAATGATTTAAACAAGGAAATAGACACTTTATTCATGATAAAACTATGTAACGTGATTACAGTATAAGGTTAGAACGTCTTTAAGGCATCCAATGAAAAATTTCTACAATTCATGTTAATATAATAATTTTGTCAACATAACCTTTCTATTTAACGACTCAGCGTTAGCAAAATTTTTTTCAGTTTTGGTGGCTAAATATCTTTCCAATATTATAATGCAATCACATAACATAGTTTTGTTACGAACAGGACGCCTATTATCTTGTTTAAAACAATTTATTTCAATATTCAGTTAACGTCAGTTCGAATTGAATCACCCGCCATAGGTTTGGCTTACAGTCTTAAGACCTTCAGACACCCATGTACAGGCACCCTAAAGAAATAAAAAAAGTGTTTTATTTACTTCAAAATTTGTTAGAAGTGAGAAAAAAAAATTAAAAACTATGTTCTTACAACGACGTTAGTACATAGTATGAGTAATGTTTAAAATAATGTTTTTGGCTTAAAATTTGTGATGAAAAAATAAAATTTTTAAGGTGAAGTAATGTATAATATATAGTTGAGTTATTAAGGTTTGGGGTTTTGACAATGGCACACGGGTTACCAGGCCAGGAAGGGCATGCAAGGGGGGGGGGGGGGGGGTCAGTTGGTAAGCATAGTGTACAACCTACCTAGCACCTACATAAGTATGTGCACTCCCTAGCTTATTTTTTCTCGTTTCATCTTTCTTTCCTCTCCTCTTTGACGACAAAATCAACGGCGTCGTCAAGAAGAAAAAGCGACCTCATTATTGCAAGTGCAGAACCAGCGCTGTCAACGCGACAGAGCCGACCACTCAGCAATGACGCGCGAGTCACCAATCTCCAGCTCTCTTAGCTCCTACTTAGTACACCCACACTCCGCGGAGATTTCTCGTCGGCCCGATTAGTCCTGGAAACAGACGATTCGACATTCGACCTCTATAGAAAATATATTTTCTTAAGTGGGGGGTGGGGGGACGACTTCTGTGTGCAGATGTGGCGCGCAATAGAAACTAAATAAGTAATAATAAGAATGCAGATGACAAGAAATAGTAATAGGGTTATTGGGCAATAACGGTTGCAAAGATAACGGAGAATACTACGGAAGCGCTTATCCGCCACCCGCCACCCTTCTTGCCTATACCTACACAAACCCGGAGTACCTTATACTTACGAACTGTACAAAGACAGGGGTCAGGGTGGGTGAGCTGCCCATGAGCAGCATCTGGTAGCACTGCGCGCATTTCAAGTGTAAATCATTGTTATACGCGTATATATTATCAGTACCTATATATACAACTCCTTACTCCTACGAGTATGACACACATCGTATCGTATCGTACAAAAAAAACATGTCTCCTCTCCTAGGCTGCACTCTCCGGAGCAATAACAACAGAATGCACATTACGTTAGTCGTTAGTCGGACGTCGTCGTCGCTCTCGGGCGCTGCTGTGCAGAACCGGGCAGCGCATGCGCTGCTCAGTTTACAGTTGGAGCTCGGGCGACGAAAATGGCGTCAGCCAAGTTCCTTGAGGAAGCACTGAGCACGGACGTCGACGAGTCCGCGGTGAGCGCGATCGTAGGCTCGCTCGAGACTCAGCTGGTAGCTGGGCCCTCGCAGCAGCCCCAATCCCAAGCGCAGCCGTCCAGCGCCGCTGGTCAGACGCCGCCGCCGGCAGTAGAAGTGATACAGCCACCCGCCGGCCCACCACCACCACCACCACCACCACCGCCACAGGCACAGCCGCAGCAGCAAACTCAGTCCGCCGATGCAGCAGTCGCAATATCTAACACAAGCGGGACGAGTGAGCCGACGGTAGCCGCGTCGTTATCTGCCTTGTCTCAGCAGCAACAGAACTCCATCGTAACCAACTCGAGTAGCGGTAGCAGCAATCATCCACAGAGCAACGGAACCCCCGCCCCCATGACGGCGGCTGCGACGGCCGCTGCCCCGGTGCCCTCGCCGCCCACGCTCACCACCACCACCCATTTACAGCAATTGCCCGTCGTCGTCAAGACCGAGCCCCAGCAGCAGCAGCAAAGTCAACAGTCCTCGGCATCACAGCAGCAGCACATTGTTAATGGAGTTATCGGACCAGGGCCGAGCCTCGACGGTAGAGGTGGCGGCACTGCAGGCAACGCCGAAAACAGTGTCCCGAGTGCACCCCAACCTCAGCTACAAATGGTCAATAGCGTGGCCACGCCGTCGACTCCTCATCAGCAACAACAGCAGACGCCTTCTACTCCTTCGCCTGCCGTTGGCCAGCTGACGACTACCAAGTTGCAGACTTTAGCGACGCCGGTCAATGTGGTCACGGCGGCCAATGCTGTAGCGCAGGTCAATGCCCAGCAGGTGCATCAGCAACCAGTACAGGCGGTTCAGCCCGTCCAGACCGCACAAACGGTCGTCTCGCAGCCACAATCGTCACAGCCTCTGCAGCAGCAACAGCAGTTCATGGCTCAGGTAACGAGCAACCAAGTCACCAGTAATCAGAGCCTTGTTCAACAACAACAACAACAACAACAACAACAACAACAACAACAACAGCAACAACTCACTGCTCTAGCCAAGGTCGGCGGTGAGCACGTTAAGATTGTTTATCCAAACAGTGGGCAGGTCATTAGTGGTGGTGTCGCCGTCAATGCCAATAACAAACTCACGTTTCCCGCTCAGAGCGTTTCCCAACTTGCCAATGGTACTCTAGGTGTCGTTACTACCCAGCAGCCTATGCAGCTGCTCCAGAGTACCACGCACAGTAGCATTAGCAGCAGTAGTACTGTGATGAGCACACAGACCACTACTACTAATCAGGCTTCACAGTTGGTGCAGCAGATGCAGCAGCAACAACAACAACAACAGCAGATGCAGCAGCAACAACAGCAGCAGCAGATGCAGCAACAACAACAACAACAACAACAACAACAACAACAGCAGCAGCAACAGGCCGTTAATGTGAATAAATCGACTGCACTAGTGATAAAGACTAGCACGCCAGGTGGTATGGTCTCTGTTCCGATGTCAGTCCCAGCGACGGTGGCCGCAGGCATGGCTAACGCGACTGCCCAGCAGCAAGCAGGCAAGCCTGCTGGTGCCGCATCTGCTACTACCCTTGTGCCCGGCAACGTGCAGATACTCAATGTTAATGCCGTGCGCTCTGGCACTCCAGTTACAGGCCAGCAGGCAAGTAAACCCGTCAACAGGGTCGTGATTGCCCAGGGTCATCAGCACGTTATGGCAGGAAGAACGGGAACCCCTGGGGTATGTCCTGTGTGTAGGCACAATTTAACATAATACTACATAACTGAAATTTTGCTTATTTTTGGCAATGAGAAATTAAAAATTTGCTCGGTAATATAATTTAACATTTTTTTTTAATTAAAGCATTACAACTACACACACTCCTTGTATATAAAAGACATGTTGTTTATCTGGGTACTCATTAAGCTCTCACATTAGGTCCTCATTGAAATATAATTAGTTTCTTCATGAATTACAGCTTGTAACAGAGCTATTAAACCATCATCACTTTCAACTATTTTTCGTATATTAATTTGATTCTTGAATTACTTTTTATTTGATTCTACAAATTTTCTAGTCTTTGGTACAAAATTCAGTTTGGGTTAGGTGCAATCATGTGTTTATAGCAGGCAATTTTTGCCTATATCTTATTTCACTGACTGTTTTTACTTGAAGCACACAATCATAAAAAATCAAACAAAAACTGCTTTTATTGTAAAAATTATTTTCGTGGGATACACTTCACAACTTTTCCTTGCATGCATAGTCCAAGCTTGTACAAAAATGTTTCAAAATGAAAAAATTTTCATTATAAAACTCATTACCTCTAAAATGAAAATAGTTATGAGGCAAAATAAAATAATTTAGACTTAATTATATAGCGTTCTTTAATTGCCTACATCAGTCGTTTTTATCGTTAACATTTTTAGATAACGCTACAGACTCTACAGAGCTTACAAGCATCACCAGGCCAGCAGTTACTATTGAAGACAGAGACTGGCCAATACCGTTTGGTGACGCTGGGCCCACCAGGAGCACAATTAGCTAACAACATAAATGCGGGCAATGCCACAGCTGCGGTCGCGGTGGCGTCGCCCGGAGCTGGTGGCACAACGACCTATCGCCTGGCCACTCTGCCAGCTGTAAGTAGGCTGAACGCACAGTTCACTGGTCCACCACTCGCCACGATAAGAAAGCCGATTCAGGTGACGCACATTTAAGAAATGCCTTTATTAGAGACTCGAACTCTTTTTTGATTCTTTTGTTATTTTTTTTGTAATTTTTCTCAATTACTAGATGTTCTGCTTCAGCTGATTTGTTTCTTTCTGTCTTTGCTTGCACATTTGTTTTTTTGAGTCTGCAGACTTATTTTAAGTTGGAATGCCTGTAGACTAGGTGGATGGTTTCTTGATGCTGTTGAAAACAAAACAAAAAAAAAACAAAAATCGGAAAAAATGATTTTATTGATTCTAATTTTTGTATAAACTTATTTTGAAATCAATAATTTAGAAATTTATCTTAAATTCTAAGCATTTTTTATATTTTATTTGTTTCACATACAAGAAACTTTTTTCCCCCTAAGTTTCACGTTTTGTGCATGTAATTTATTCTGGTTCCATTGTAGTTTAATTGATTCAATAATTTATATTATGAATCCAACATAACTGTTGCATGTAAGGAAATGCACAATAAAATATAAAAAATTAATATCAAAAAAAAAATTTCCAAAATACTATTATCATATAGCAAACATCACATTTAAATTTACTTTGGTGATTAATTACAATTCATTTTTTTTTTTTTAAAGATTAACAATTTTATTTATTACAACTTTAACAAATTTTAAGTAACAAAACACTACCTTACCTTATCAAACACAGCTTAGTATAATGAACTAACGAAATTCGAGTCTTTACAAGGTACATGTGCGTTAATCAAATATAAATCATGTTTATACACTTCATATCAGAATCGATGAAAGATCGTAAATAAATTATAAGTCAAATTGAATATCATTTTTTTTTTTAAATTGTTTTCATTGAATTTTATAAAAATGTGCAAAAAATCATGTACTCAATGTGCATGCAGTCAATTATTCACGAATGATTTTTTGTAGATTTATTATTTACAAACACATCACGACATTTAGTAACGTAAGTACTCAGGAATAATTATAATTAATGAGGAATTTTTTTTGGTTGAACAGACTGTAGCTCCTACAGTAACAACTACAACAGTGACTCCAGTAACTTCGACGATAGTCGCCGCGACAACTACGGCGCCGACACCGGCCGTAACGACTGCACAGCCGAGCCCGGCTACAGTCCAGGTAGTTGAAATAAATTAAAGTCTTGCCGACCAACCAACACTGCAAGTGAAATGCTAATGCTACCTTTTAAACTCTTTCACAACTAATGATAAATTAACTGCCTATCGATATGACAAATTGACGCCTCAGTTAAAAAAAGCGCTTACTCAAAAATTACCTTGAATAAAACGCTAATTCAGACTCCGATCAAATGTGAGTTAGTGCCTTTTTTAACTAAGGTGTCGAAATAGGCCGTAAATGCTGTACTTAATAAAATAAAATAACAGATCGAAAGAGGCATTACTATTACACTTTGCTCTTACTCGCGATATTTCAAGACTTTAGTCACTGACACTTGATGATTTTTTTTTTTTTCTTTATTGAAATTATAGCGTCAGACTACGGACAATAATACCAAAGAAAAGTGCCGTAAATTCCTAGCAAACTTGTTAGAGTTGTCTAGTCGAGAACCGAAGAATGTGGAACGAAACGTTCGAACCCTCATTCAGGAACTGATCGACGGTAGAGTCGAGCCAGAAACGTTCTGCGAGCGACTTGAGAGGCTGCTCAATGCCTCGCCACAGCCCTGTTTAATAGGATTTTTAAAAAAGAGTCTGCCGTTGCTCCGACAGTCACTAATCGCCAGGGAACTAATGATTGAAGGTATAAGACCGCCTTTAGCCACTGCAGTATTTCCCATGGGCTCGACTATTGCACAGGTTCATAATGATACTAGAAAATAACTCACGACTGTCGCAAACTTTGTGAAAAACGTTTGTTGTTTTTCTGGTAAAGCAAAATCAAGTCAGACCGACCGTAGCTGTAGCGCCTGGGGTTGTTGCTGCAGGTGCGCCCACCCCGACGCAAATTGTCGCATCTGCCGCTACTGTTGCAGGCTCACCATCTGCTGGTACGCAAGTACGAGTAGTAGCACCACTTGCGGGAGTTACAAGCGTACCCCGACCACCTCAGCCAATGGTTCAGCAAAGACTGGTAAGTTACAAATACGCTTTTTTCTCCATACATTTCTATAATGGAAAGCTGCCTAAATTTTGATAGCTTATAATAAAATTATGAAAAGCATTATTGTGATTGCTGACATTGTTGAAGTTTAAAATAAACAGCTCAAAAATGTCATTTTTACCATAATGCAAAATTAATGTTTACTGGAAACATTGTTTTGAAGAAAAATTTCTGTATTTTTTTTTCAAAGAATTCAGAAAAACCAGCAACTGTTAAGACGGAAAAGACAGTTAACAAAAAAGTAAATATTTTCAGAATCATAATTTAGTTATTGTCTCTCACACTGCACGATTATTATAATTATTCTTGTTTAAAAAATATATAAAATCTTTGGCTTAATGAAAACAGCATGCATCAAACTTTGGTTAGATCAGAACTAATTGCAACATTTTTTTATTTTTATACTTAATCACCTCCGATAACATCTAATTATTATTTAATGAAAAAAAAAAA